CTCCACCCTTGGCATCGAAACACTGAACTTTCCTCATTGAGATGCACTGAGTCAATGCAACTCTATAAGATGCTGTTTGGCCAGGGCTGTGTTTGGCTTTTGCTGGTTTTCCTATGGGAAAGCATTGTGATTGGCTAAGATCAACGCTTCTGATGATGTAAGCCATCTCAGCTCTAAATGATAATGACCCTCTAGTGTTCCTATGATGAAGTACCACTTGAGCACAGAAAAAAAAAAAACCTCTCTCCCCCTCCCTCCAAATTCCATGTACATTCTGTTATGGATATTAGTAGGAATATGTGTATTCATATTAGGCTGCAATTTAACCCCTTAAGGACACATGACATGTCATGATTCCCTTTTATTCCAGAAGTTTGGTCCTTAAGGGGTTAAAGCAGATACATACTGAATAGTTTAAGATGTTCTCTGCCACTCATCACATAACACAAATCTCTAAAGCAAGTTATGTAATACTCATCAACTAAACACTTATTAGAAAGGTCCAGTTCTATTGTGGCCGGACAAGGCCGCCTGTTGATATAGTGCAACTATAACCAAATAACACAATCATTTGAGTGCTATCAGTTATGGCCATCATTAGCTCTTTTCAAAATAGCATGAAAGGAGCTAAGCAAATACCAGAACTGCTGCAACTACCACCAACTTGGGCAACTGAAGATTTGTAACCAATCTCAATTAATAACTGAATACGCTATAGCTCGTTTGGAAAATAATGGGGTGGCTAGAATCGATGGATATGTGCTAGCTAATCTGGGTAAAGCACACATCAAAATGGTGCAAATCCTGCAAATCTGAAGTAAAGCTAGGAATTTAAAAAGGTTTTTTCCCCCCACCTGTTTGGATATTTGAATGCATTAGCTATATAATATGGAAAAAATAGGGTTCATTACCAAACCGTGGTATTCATTTAAATGAACACGCCAAACACATCAAGCACTTGCTTTACGTGTGAAGAAAGAGTGTGCTTTATTTTCTTCCATTTTAGAAAAGTTCTAACTTCAATAGAGCCTTGATGCATCTCTTGGCTGTCAGACAGTTAGTAGCATTTTCTTCCTGCTCGGTGAAACGCAATTTAAGAGGCAGGGAGGGCTTGCAGTAGCTGCAGAAACTAGATATGCAGCTAGTGTAAGCAAAGCTATCATCACTATCCAAATTAGAGCAAGACAAATAATTGAATGCATGTTTCTTTGGGGGTATATCTACAAAGTGGCTACACGGATTTATTCAAAGAACATCATGGACATCATCAACTGTAAACAAAATCAAAAAAAGTAACCCTCCAAGTAATTAAATACACAACTCTGCAGCTCAGCCCCATACAGCATCTTCCAAATAGGCCTCTAATGTATTATCACGAATATTTAATGAGCATTCAATCACTAGGAGCATTTATTATTGTGCAAGCCCATTCAGAACATTCACATACATTTAATTACAATCAATTGTTTATAATTGAAAAGGAAAGAGCCACAAATTTGCTCGAATTAAAGGAACACTGTACAAACATGTATTTAGAACACTATAGTGCTGGAATATATGTTTAGGTGATCAGGCCCCCTCTTAAAAGGTGAGATTTCCTTACCATTTCTTCATTGCCCCACTGAAGCTGACCCCGCCTCTATGACCGAGTCATCAATCTTGATGATCTCAGTCAATCCAATGCTTTGCAATAGGAAAGCACTGGGATGCTATTGCACATGCGAGGCAAAAGGCTATGCTGCGCCAATCAGCCTCTCCTGATAGAGATGCACTGACTCATTGCATCACCAAGTGGAGCATTCAGCATCTCCATGCTGTACACACTGCAGCACTGAGAGAGGAAGCACCTCTAGCAGCTGTTTGAGTGACTGCCACTAGAGGTGTCCCTAGGTAGCAATGTAAACACTGCCTTTTCTTTGAAAAGGCAGTGTTTACATTGAAAAGCCTGCAGGGACAGGCTACAGACACCAGAACCACTACATTGAGCTGTAGTGGTTTTGGTGACTGTACCGCCCCTTTAAATGTACACAACAGAAACATGATTTCTAAATAAAGCCTAAAACAGAGTATTCCAGAATGGGTTATGTAAACATAACACTGATATTCATTCAACAGCACAATTAAAGATTGTATGTAAAGTATATTACAATAACTGACATCAGTACCTTTTTAAATTTTCCTTGCCGCTTTGCTGCAGACTGCCCCTGGGAGTTAGAACAACATACCGTAAGAACACATGTAGACTCTTTATGGAATGGTCACACCGCAGTGATACCGGCTATACACAGAGGCGCAACCAGCAGGATTCTATCACTGAACCATAATGTCAATATATACTACTCCAAGAAAAGAACAAATTGCGTATTGTAATTTTAGGACAACTATGATTTTATTAGTGGCAATGTAACACTGCCATATTTGTCTGGTTGCACCCCTGAGATTGTATGTCAACTAATGCAGGTACATTTTGCTTTATGGCAAACTTTTAAACATAAATGCACATCTGAATTCATATCATGTAAAACTGTAGTTCTCCCACTGTAGTTGTAGAACAGGCCAGCAATGACGGCTTTTAAGGACCACCATAAAACACTTTTCTGGCTTAGTCATTAGAATGGATACACCCAATGTGAAATGTTGAATTGGTTTTAAATGTGATGTGTAGTGGCATATCTTGAGTCACCCTTGCCTAAATTGGTAAAATATTGTAGGGGACAATTTAATATTGAATACTGGTGGAGCAAAAAGCAGAACTAAATTATAATTGCTGGAGGTGCCATGTACAAATGTAATGCAAGCCATTTATTATTTTTTATTTCCAATAACCAATATGTTTTGCAATAAGTGCAAACTGTGTTTGACACCCAAAACATATTTGATTATTATAGGTTTATTATTTTATCACACAAACACATATATTGCTGTTCACAGTCCACATACACAGTCATTCCAAGGTGTCTAAAAAACCCTCTAGTACTAGGTATCTGCAGATAAAAATCCAGGCAGCCATGAGAACATTTATTCTGATGTATAACCAGTGGCGTAGGTCATAAATGTTGACCCAGAAACTCTATTTATGAACCTTGTGTTACTTTCCCAATATAGGAGTACAATCACCAGGGCTTAATTAATCCCTGGTGATTGTGCTCTTGACTCACCCCCCTCCCCTCCCTCAATGCTTGCAGAGGTGTGTAACTTAAGGCCTTGCTGGTAGCATAGGAGGTGAAATTTTGAGCACTGTATTAAATCAAGCCCAAGTGGTTAGAGATCGGCACTTGAATCAATGGAGTACAGTAAGGATTTTGTTGTTGTTGTTTAACAGTCACAGTGCTGGGGGGGTTGCAGGAGGAAGTATAGTGTAAGAAATACAGTTTTGTATGTCTTACTCTATAGTATCCCTTTAAAAGATAAATACATGAAATCTACTATACAGCACTCACAAAATAATAAACTCACTTTATCATGAAGTATTACGAATATATATATATATATATATATATATATATATATATATATATATATATATATATATATATATCTCACTGTGACTGTTAAACAACAAAATAAACCCTTACTGTACTCAATTGATTCAAGCGCAGATTTCCCTCAGCGCTGGGTCAGCAAACCGGCTCCTCCAGCGTTACCAGAAAGAAAAAAGGAATAGGAAGGCATTGCTTTGCTATGGAGTTTTCTCTGAAGCTATATGTCCTCATGCAGAGTATGAAGACGTCCAGTGTCAGGCGACCAAAAGTGACGGACAGCCAATCGAGGCAGTCTTAGTTCTGGAAGGTAATCATTGCCGTTACTCTAAAACTGCACTGATTTGATTTGCAGGACTAAGTTTGACAGGGCATTGCACCCAGACCACGTCAATGAGCTAAAGTGGTCTGGGTGCCTACAGTGTCCCTTTAAGAGGGCTTAATGTTTTGTTTTGATGACAGGTGCAGGAGAGGAATCAAAGCTCAGAGAGGGAAAGCTGTTGACCGTTTAATATACATGCTTTCCTGAAGAAGTAAGTTTTTAAAGCCTAGACGGGACATATTTGTGTATTAGTGAGGATGGGTAGGTCATAGCAGCATTGTATAGAGATATGTAAGCAAGTACAAGGGACACTATATAGTCACCCAGACCACTTCAGCTCAATGAAGTGGTCTGGGTGTCAGATCCCTATAGGGTTAACCCTGCCTGATGTAAACATAGCAGTTTCTGAGAAACTGCTATGTTTACATCTGAGGTTAAGCCAGCCTCTAGTGGCTGTCTTCCGGACAGCCACTAGAGGCGCATCGGCAATGATTGAGGCATATTATGCCTCAATCACGCAGAGCGTCCATAGAAAAGCATTGAAAAATGCTTTCCTACGGACACTTTGAATGCGCGCACAGCAGTGCCGCGCATGCGCATTCGGTGCCGGTGACGTGAGACAAGGATGCTGACGTTGGAGAGGTAAGTGAGCCCGGCGCGGGAAAAGGGTGAGTAGCTGAAGGGGTTTTAAACCTTTCAGCGCCGCGGGAGGGGGACCCTGAGGGAAACAGATTGGGAGGTGTGGGCAGACAGGAAGATGAGCCTTGTCACCACATTCTTTAAAGACTCCCTTAAAGAGATTCTATAGTGCCAGGAATACAAAGCCATTTTCCTGGCATTACAAGTTCCTACAGTGTCCCCCTCTCTCTGCGCTGAAAGGGTTAAAATCCCTTCAGTCACTTACCTGAATCCATCGCTGATGTCCCACAGCGCTGGGTCAGGCTCCGTCGGTGCTCCTCCTCAGCCGACTGGGAAGACCTAACGTGCATGCGCAGCAATGGCCGCGCTTGCATTAGGATTTCCCCATAAGAAAGCATTAATCAATGCTTTCCTATAGGGATTCCAGTGACGCTGGAAGTCCTCATGTATAGCGTGAGGACGTCCAGTGTCATTTAGATGACCAAAAGTCATCTAAGCACCCGGAAGTCCTTCTAATGTCTGTCATGAGAATTTAGGCACCCAGACCACTTCGATGAGCTGAAGTGGTCTGGGTGCCTATAGTGTCCTTTTAAGTCAGGTTGCCTTGTGGTTAAAAGGGACACTATAGTCACCAGAACAACTACAGCTTATTGAATTTGTTCTGTTGAGTAGAATCATTACCGTCAGGCTTTTTGCTGTAAACACTGTCTTTTCAGAGAAAATGCAGCGTTTACATTACAGCCTAGTGATAACTTCACTGGCCACTCCTTAGATGGCTGTTAGAGATCCTTCCTGGGTCATAGCTGCCTAAAATGCATCCAAACATTCAGTATCTCCTCCCTCTGCATGCAGACACTGAACTTTCCTCATAGAGATTCATTGATTCAATTCATATCTATGAGGAGATGCTGATTGGCCAAGGCTGTGTTTGAATCATGCTGACTCTGCTCCTGATCTGCCTCCTTGCCAGTCTCAGCCAATCCTATGGGGAAAGCACTGTGATTGGATCAGGCCACCACTTCTGATGTCGTCAGCAGACTGCTTGTTTTTTGGAGTCTAACAGCATGCAGATTTACAGCTTCAGACTTGAATACAGTAAGATTTTGCTATATTTATGGAGGCGTGAGGGGCTAGATGGTGGTGTTAACACTATAGAGTCAGGATAACATGTTTGTGCTCCTGACCCTATAGTGATCCTTTAACAGAACTCTAAGGCATGATGTCACTTCACATAGCATATCTATAGGAAGTAATCTAATAATCCACACTAACTTTTAAGCTTAAATAGTAAAACATACAATCCATAGATACCGTAATAAAATGAATTACAGAACCAAGAATTGATCTATGATCTATACACCAAACTGCTTTATTAAGGTAAAGCGGTTTGGTGCCTATAGAGCCCTGTAATACCTACAGATAGGACCAAAATACTTTAGACATAATTTCATATTTACATTTGCTAATAATTATATTGTATGGTGAAATGAAATACACGTTTTACTTAAATGTACAGTAGTATATGGTATGTGTCAAGACAAAATACCCCAACCCCCTTGAGCATGTCAGCATGGTTTAGGTTAGATAAACTGTCAGTAATGCAGTATTGTAAATGATGCATTATCAATGTGGTTGGAAAGAGGGCAGGCTAAGAATGCCACTAAGAGCCCCATTTTTTGACAAAATTCTCAAAAGCAGCTTAACAAAAATATGTGGGGCGGCACCTATTACCTCTTTGCACTTTAATCCCTAATTGAGCTTTAATGGTTATGGTGCTTAGAGTATCCCTCTATATTTAACGAGTATAACCTTGTTCAATGTTTCCAACTGATTTAATGTAACCAATAACTTTGTCAATTTGATTAAAAAGGAAAAAAAAAAAAAAAAACGATCAAATTGTAGACTTATTTTGCAACAGTGTAATGGCTA